GAGAGAGAGAGAGAGAGAGAGAGAGAGAGAGAGAGAGAGAGAGAGAAACAGAGGAGAGAGAGGGAAAAAGATGCCCATATTTCTTCAGCTGGCATTTTAAGAGGAGAGGGTAGCATTGAGAGAAGGATAGAGGGACAGAGTGACCAGAGAGGACCAGCCATGGGGCAGTCATTTTGACAGGTTTCTAATGATGGCTTCCATGTATTCTGGAGAAAGTTAATTTGATGAAAACATTTCAGTTTACCAGTACTTTAAAGTGCTAAGACATGAGTAAGTCACAAAGTGGGAACAATTTTAGATGCAGGAATTTATTCAGCCCTCAGCATAAAAATATTACAAGCAAGTTTTTCTTATATGTGAATTCCTAAATTGTTTTAAATTACTTTACATCCTGCCTTGGCTAATAATGACTGCCATTACTGTTAAGGCTCAGTTGATAGAAGCATAATTTCTTAAAATTTTCCTTCAGTAATCTTTCTATGTATTTTGAAATTTGTTGCATGTGTATGTGCATGTGTGCCTGTGTATATGCATGCTCATGTATGTTGGCACACACGTATATATGCATGTTGAGGTTTGAAGTTGAAGTTGGGAATTTTCCTTGATATAGCTCTACTTTTACTTATTGAGACCAAGCCTCTTGCTAAACTTGGAGTTTGCTGATATTGACTAGTCTAGCTAGCATCTTGCTCCAGGGATCCCATCTCTGCCTCTTGAATTTGGGGATTATGGGTGGCTGGCATGCCCGCTTGTCTTTTGTTACTGTGTGTTCTGGGGACATAGACTCAGTTCCTCATGCTTATATGGAATTTTAGCTTATTGAGCCTTCTCTCTGGCACTGATATTTTGAATTGTTTTCATCCTAAGTTGACTTAAAAGGGGGATTGAGTATTTTTAGCTGAATAATGTTCCCCAGCCCTAAGAATTCTATCTCTTAAAAATTGATCTTTGGGGCTTGAGAGGTGACTCAGCAGTTAAAACACCAGATGCTCTTCCAGAGGACTTGGGTTCAGTTCCTGTCACCTACGTGAGAGCTCACAACCATCTGTGATACCTGTTCCAGGAGGTCTTATGCCTTCTTTTGGCCTCCAGGGGCACCAGGAGCATAACTGGTGCATAGACATACAAGAAGGAAAAAAAAACATCCACATAAAATAAAGATAAGTAAATCTTTAACAAAGTTGGCCTTCATTTTCTTCTTAATGTAACATTTAATTAACTCCTTAAGAATTTCATACAATGTATTTTGATCAGATTTATTCCCCTAATGACTGCTAGGTACACCCCTAGCTCTCACTTCCTCCCAACTTCATGCCCTCTGTTTTTTTAATAATCCACTAAGTCTAATTTGTTCTGTCCATGTGCTCATTGGTGTGAAGCTATTCACTGTAGTGTAGGTGACCTGCTGCGTTCTTTGAGATAATTGGCTGTCCCTCCCACAGAGGCTGTTAGTGCTCAATGGCTCTTCACTTGGCAACACACGCTCCACGCTAGAGTGTTGACGGACTTGGTCTTGAGCAGGTCTTGTGCAGGCAGCCACAGCTGCTGTGAGTTCACAGGCGCAATGGTCCTGTCATATCCTCTTCTGGCCTCTGGCTCTTGCCGTCTTCCTGCCCTCTTCCCTGAGTCCCTGAACCTTGGTGCTGGGATGATACTTGTCCCATGTGTAGCTGAGCCCTCCATAGACACATTCTCTGTACTTTGACCAGCTGTGGATTTCTGTCCACTGCACCAAGACATTTCTCTGATGAAGATGGAGAACTGTTCTAGTTTGTGAGCATGAGATAAGTAAGTGTCCTATGGGTATGAATTTCGAGGGCAGTTTATCCCTAGGCTGCAAACTTCCTTACCAGATTTGTAGCACCAGGCATGTGTTTCCTTCTGTGGATCAGGTATTAAATCCAACCAGGCAGCACCGCGTTGTCATTTTGACATTTGTGTCACTGTTACATGCAGGCATATCTTGCCATGCCAGTCATTACTGTAGCATGCGGGGTGCACAGCTGTGAGACCGGTGCTGACGTCCTAGCAGCAGTCTGTGTAGTACCTTCTCGTCCTGGGAAAACATAAAAGTCAGGGGGCTTCTTGGTCAGCGCCAGTTGACTTCTTCCTTGACTTGTGAGCAAACTCTGTGACACCTTTAGTAATATCAAATTGTGATGGGCCACCTCATCTTTGTTTTTTTATAAATTTGGTTGGTGTTTAATTAATGTTTTAATTAAAAATGTATCAGAATTTACATAGATGGCATTGTGTTCCCATGTGAATTTACCGAAAGTACTACTGTATTAATTGAAACTATGTTTCAGATATAGTTGCATTTGTTCTGAGTACTTGGTTATATTATAAAAATCCATGTATGGGGGGGTGGAAGTAAGGGGAGATGGTTAGAGAGAAGGGAAAGGGGGAGGATTGGGGATGGCGTGGGGGAATGAGATGGGGGGAGGGAGGAAGGATAGATATGAGAGCAGGGAAGTATATATCTCAACTAAGGGAGCCATTTTAGGGTTTGCAAGAGACTTGATTCTCGAGGGGTTCTCAGGCCCAAGAAGAGATCCCCAGATTCTTCCCTGGGCAGCAGAGGAGAGGGTGCCTGAACTGGCCTTGGCCCATAACCATTCGGATGAATATTTTGCATGTCACCATAGAACATTCATCTGGCAATGGATGGAGATAGAGACAGAGACACATATTGGAACACTGGACTTAACTCCCTAGGTCCAAATGAGAAGCAGAAGGAGGGAAAACGTGAACAAGATAGGCAGGACCAGAGGGAACCTTCATCCGACGTTGGATGGTGATACAGACGAAGACCCACATTGGAGCACCGGACTGAGCCCCCCAAGGTCCAAATGAGGAGCAGAAGGAGGGAGAACATGAAGAAGGAAGTCAGGACCGTGAGGGGTGCGTTCACTCACTGATACAAGGGTACTGATCTAATGAGAGCGCACCAAGGCCAGCTGGACTGGGACTGAACGAACATGTGATCAAACCAGATTCTCTGAATGTGGCTGACATGGGGGCTGACTGAGAAGCCATTGACAATGACACTGGGTCTTGTTTCGTCTGCATGGACTGGCTTTTTGGGATCCAGTCTGTTTGGATGCTTACCTTCCTAGGCTTGGAGGGAGGTGGGAGGAACTTGAACTTCCCACAGGGCAGAAAACCCTGACTGCTCTTTGGACTGGAGAGGGAGGAGGAGAGGGAGTGGGGGGAGAGGAGAGAGAGTGGGGGGAATGGGAGGGTATGGGGAGGAGGGGAGGAAGTGGAAATTTTTTATAAACAAACAAATAAAAAATAAAAAAAATAAAAATCCATGTAGAAAATAAAAATAAAAAACGATGAGAGCTACCATGCCTAATGTGTTGTAACGTTTATTGAGGGGCATCTGCTTCAGAGATTAAGAGCACAGATTCAGGAGTAGTAGTTTACTTGGGTCGTGTTCCACTTGCCCACTTCCTAGCTGAAGTTATAACTGTATCTGCTAAATGATGAATAAACAATGTTGGCCTTATACAGTGGCTGTGAGTTAATACGCACAGCGTGTTTAGAAGAGTGCCTGACATGTATTTAAAATTACTAAGTGTAAATTGGGCAGTGGTGGCGCATGCCTTTAAACTCAGCTCTCAGGAGGCAGAGGCAGGTGGATCCCTGAGTTTAAGGCCAGCCTGGTCTATGGGGCAAGTTCCAGGACAGCCAGGGCTACACAGAGAAACCCTGTCTTGAGAAACCAAGCCAATACAAAACAAAAATTATTGTTTACTTCAGGTACTGTGTTACCCTTTATTTTCTCTTTTAATCCTTAAAACAGCTCTATAGGGCTGGTATTGTTACCTTCAGTAGACAACAAGAAAACTGAGGTGTGGAGAAAGGAAATAATTTATAACATTCTAGTTATGAAGTGTTTGCGATTTGAAACCAAGAAGCCTGACTTGTTCTTTGAACCAATAACATTTTAATTTTGAATTAATTAGGATACCAATGCATTTTTATTTATGAAGTGCCAGGAATAAGCTATATAGAGGATGGGAAAGTATGGTCAGAATAAATTATGTGGGAGAAAGAATAAAAAGCATGAATGTAACTTTTAATTGTAATTAAACTTTGGTTGAGAAAATGCTTTTATATGCTTAGGAAAATTTATTTATATTTTTAATCAGGAAGCAGTAAAGGTTTGTGAACCTCAAATCAGTAATAGCATAGTAATTACCAGAATTGAAATATTCATGGTGGATTTGCCTTGTTTATTAGAATTTAGTAAAAGGAGTCAGCGAGAGAGCACACATGGCTGGAGACTTAGCCGCCTTTCCCCGGCCACCGTACGTGCCAGGCAATGAAGGCTTTCCGCTCCCTCTAGAGGTCATTAGTAATACGTCTTTTGTTTTGAATAGAAAAACCGTTATGGCCAGAATTTAAAAAAACAAAAACAAAAACAAAAAACTGACTCCATTGAAATACTTAGCATATAAAAAAATCTAGAATTTCAATTCTCAAGCTGTTAACCCAGTCAGTCAGCACCGCACTGCCAGGCCTCTTTACCTTTGTGATACTGAAGATTCTCACATGCTAGGCAAGTGCTCTTCCATCGACCTACAGCAACTCTCCTAGTCCTAAGTGTTCTCTAAAAGGTTTGGAGGTTTTAGCTCTTGGGCCATTAGATGGCAGATTCATTTTACCTAGTATTTTTGTATAATTCTAATAACTTCAGATTCTTTTCTGATTTGAGAGACTGTGTGCGTATTTCGGGACTGTGGGCTTATTATTTCTAAAATGAGGAGCTGGCCTCAGGAATGCCGAAGTCCTTTGAAGCACATTCTGTGTAACCATAGACTAATTGTCTTCTGTTTCTTTTGAATAGTACCACTATTTGTTGCCATGACCAAAACCCATGTGATAGCAGCTTCAAAAGAAGCCTTTTATACCTGGCAATATCGTGTGGCAAAGAAGCTCACAGCGTTGGAGATTAACCAGATCACACGGTCCCGAAAAGAAGGGAGAGAAAGGTATGTATTTTGATATATATATATATATATATATATATATATATATATATGTATAGTAACACAACCATATCACATTGAAGTCAGACATAGTTAATTATCCGTTGCCGTTCTTGAGAAATACACATAGCCTAGTTATAGAAACACTTTTAATTAATCTGAATATCTTTTAAATGGATCTGTTTAAATTTGCCAAAGTCAAAGAAAGTTGGCATGGTGGAAAGAAAGCAAAGACACTTATTGGAAAGGGCTAGAAATTTGTGGGGATATATTTGGTCAGGAAATGGCTATGTGACCCACTCCATATATTAGTGTTCAACTGAAATCATTCAGTTAAGATCCGAGTGTCTAACTGAAGCTTCATTCCCATAGGTTAGTAGCATGGATCTTTCTAGGAAGTGATCCTAGCATCCATCACCAGGGCAGGTGCAGGTCCTTTGACACAGGTATAGAAACGGGCTTTAGGTGGCTACTTTCCCTGGCCCCAGATTCTAGGCAGTCTGAATTGGAGTGGTTTCTGGTAAGTGGGAGTGGAGAGCAAGCAAGCAGGCAGGCAAGTAAGCACTCTGGATGGATAGACAGACAAACTGTCTCACAGTTCAACACATATTGTTGGGAATGCATGACTTGAATGCTCACAGTGGGACATGACGTTGCTGACAGATCTCATAGATAACTGGCAAATAGTCGATGAATGCTTTCTGGTTTAATGAGATTCAGCTGTATCAAGAACTCTTTAAACAATCAGAGTTTTTCTATCAAATAATAATGCTCATTGTTCTGAATTGCAAAGATTATGAAGTAATGCAATCCTCACTTTCTTCAAAATTCTGATTTTTTTAAACAGAATTTATCATGTTGATGATGTTCCTTCTGGATCTGTGGATGGGGTGTTTGATTACAGTAAAGCGATTCAGGTAGGTGGTTTGTTTCTGTCTGTAAGTCGTAGTGTCTATAGATGAGGGAACATTGCCATTTTATTAGACAGCCTAACAAGAGATTGTTTCTAGTGATTAGGACATCCGTTTAACAGTTCCCTGAACACTGCCACACCTGCTTTTCTCACAGTTGCTGGGGATCCAAGTGCAGGCCCTACTGTTTATGTAGTAGGCACTTCACCTCCTGAGCCTTCTTCGCAGCCCCAAACTCTTAATGTTTCAACCAAGTTTATGGCTTCTCTTGGGCCACACATGTAACTTGTGGGCCACAAAGCTTACGTGTCTGTTAGTTGTGCTGACTGTAGAGTTTGTAAACTGTTACATATTTTTTTTTCACTAGAAAGGAAGTTTCTCCAAGGTCTTTCACTTCTTATCTATTCCCCAAGCCTAGAGAACTATCCCTGGCAGGTCTCCAGACAGATGAGTTCTGTGTGATTGGTTTCTCAGTGATTACGTGTAAGAATGGTCTAACCTATGTGGACGGGCTTTTCTCGCTGAGCACAGTGCCCCTTAGATAGATCTATCCAGGTGGTTGAAGGGCTCTCCTGTTTTACCCTTCTAGTGGCATATGCTGGTCCCTCTGATCTCAGTTTGTCTTTAAGAGCTAAGTTGAGGCTTTTGCCTATTTAGTCTAAGTCAGATTTTAAAATAATCCCTTGGGGCTCAGGATTGGAATATCTTTAGTATTTCCTTCAATGGTTGACACATAATAGGTACTGTAACTAAAATTATTACGTTAATAAATGTTTTATTATATATTTTTAGTAATTTCTTAATAGTTTGGACCTCCTTTGTCATTAAATAAATATTACATAAAATGATTGATTAATTTTAGGGTACAAGGGATCCAATTTGTGCCATTACTGCATCTGATAAGACATTAATTGTGGTAAGCTGAAAGAAACTTATTTTATGAATAATAACTGTTTAAATTTTAGACCCAGGGTAAAACAAGACTTTTGGATTTAGGTTATCATCTTGTGGGTGTCCGAAATTTTCCCACGTCTGATAGGAAAAATGAGAAAATTCTCAGGCGGGAAGCTGAAGATCAGTTTGCCTTGGTTTATGGTGGGGGGAGGTTGGGTGGTGGGGAGGAGTCGGGGTGGCTTGTCTCTTAAGGGGACAGAGCAGACCATTACAGCTTGGGCACATATTAATCATTTGCAAAAATGTGAACTATTTATAAAACCAGTAGGGTGCTGGAACACGCTCATGGAGTTGGCCCTGAGCTGAAAGCCCCACAAACTGTTAGTAGATGCAGAGCCTGTGTGGAAAGCGTTGGACTTAGGATTTTCCCTGTGTGTAGCCTGGTTTCTATCCTGGCTCTGGTCGCACCTCTTTCCTGAAACTTAGAATGAAGTGTTGCACTTTCCGGCCAGTGAAGTAGAAGAGTCCCTGGCAATATTTTGCTAATTTTTTTTTCTTGAGCTCAGACATTTGAAAACATCAACTTTAGAAGTGACTGTGTGGTACAGCAGTGTGTTTGAGTCACATCAGCAGAGGCTTAACTGTTGCCAGTTTAGTTCTCCAGCCTTCAGCTCATTTTGTGGGAAAGCACTCCCGAGACCCTCCTGTGGAACGACTCCCCCACCTTTCTGTTAGGCCCCACTTGAGCCTCATGCTGAGGAAGCCTTGCTCTCTCGCTAAAAGACAGGAGGTAAAGATGAACTATGAGAGCATCTTCCCTTGCTCACCACCCCATGAAGCTCAGGCGCAGAAGAGTTTGAAAGTCAGCCTCAGCGCCCTCCCGTCTGCTGCATTTGCTGCCCGTCTGCACACCATCATGCTTGTCCAGGAAATGCATTTCCGGTGTCAGTTTAAACATCCCCTTGTTAAAAGCTAGAGCTCTAGGATAAGCTCTAGGACTGTAGGGTGGAGGCCAGGCTTCCAGTGACAGCCATTTCTCATCGTGACCTCTCCTTTCATGTATGTAGAATGTAATTGAATGACTACTTTGGTAACCTTTAGTCCACGCTAAATATTAACCTAGACAAGTAGAAGCAGCCTTAGATTTTTTTTCTTGTCAGATAAGAATTTGTGTATTACTGAAGACCTAGGGACCTGACTTCTTTCTTGAATATTCTATGAGGAAAAATTAGACCACCCAGAGCTGCTATTAAAAAACTTAAATTAGGTGATAAACATGTACTTAATAACATGGTTCAGCAGCTGAATTAGGAACTTGCAAGGACAGTGTCACTTAGGTTTTAAAAACATGGACATATATTTTACAGCTTGATGCTCTTATGTATTTACAGCTTGATGCTCTTATGGTAAATATGCTGTAGTAATCTAAGACCATTTCTTTAGGGGCGTGAATCTGGCATCATCCAGAGGTACAGCTTTCCTAATGTTGCTCTGATTCAAAAATATTCTCTGGATTGCCGGGCCTGCCAGTTATCCTTGAACTGCAACTCTAGGTAAGCCCCAGGCTCCTCCTGGAGTATGTCCTAAGGCTCCTCCTGGGGGGGTGGGGCATGTGCCCTGGGGCTACTCCTCCTGGGGTGTGCCCAAAGGCTCTTCCTCCTGGGGTATGCCCTGAGGCTCCTCTTCTGGGGGGGTATACCCCCAAGGCTCATCTTCCTGGGGTATGATCTGAGGCTCCTCCTCTGGGGTGTGGCCTGAGGCTCCTCCTCTTTGGTGTGGCCTGAGGCTCCCCCTCTGGGGTATGGCCTGAGGCTCCTCCTCTTGGGTGTGCCCTGAGGCTCCCCCTCTGGGGTATGGCCTGGGGCTCCTCCTCTTGGGTGTGCCCTGAGGCTCCCCCTCTGGGGTATGGCCTGAGGCTCCCCCTCTGGGTGTGGCCTGAGGCTCCTCCTCTTTGGTGTGCCCTGAGGCTCCCCCTCTGGGTGTGGCCTGAGGCACCTCCTCTTTGGTGTGGCCTGAGGCTCCTCCTCTGGGGTGTGGCCTGAGGCTCTTCCTCTGGGGTGTGGCCTGAGGTTCCTCCTCTGGGGTGTGGTCTGAGGCTCCTCCTCTTTGGTGTGCCCTGAGATTCCTCCTCTGGGGTGTGGCCTGAGGCTCCTCCTCTGGGGTGTGGCCTGAGACACCACATCAGGTGTCAATAAATTTGTTGACAGATGTTTATTATGAACTTGTTCAGGATAGTTTTACCTTACTGTATTTTGTTTAAATGGAAATCCTGGTACTTTTTTTTAACTCTTGAAGCTTAGCATTAACTGTTTTATGTTTTGATACTAGCTGGTTTTGGATACGTTTTCCTTACAAGGTAGCAAAGTGAAGAGTAGTTTCTATTTTCATTTATGTATTTATATATTTATTTATCTATTATGTACACAGTGTTCAGCCTCCATGTATGCCTGCAAGCCAGAAGAGGGCACCAGATCTCATTACAGATGGTTGTGAGCCACCATGTGGTTTCTGGGAATTGAACTCAGGACTTCTGGAAGAGTTGTCAGTGCTCTTAACCTCCGAGCCATCTCTTCAGCCTGTAGTTTCTATTTTCTCTTAAATTTGTTTAAAAAGTTTTAAAGACGAGAAACCTTGTCTCAAAAAAAGCAAAAACAAAAAAAAAGTTTTAGAGTCAGTTCCACCACATTCCAGGTTTCTGATAAAGAGGTCTTGAAGAACAGTTGTAGGCAATTCGACTTTATGACCACTGATAGTAATTTGCAATTTTCCCTTCTTCGGTTGTATGACTTCTAGTCGTCTTGCTATCATCGACATCGCGGGAGTCTTGACGTTCTTTGACTTGGATACTCGGGTGACAGACAGTACAGGGCAGCAAGTAGTCGGCGAACTGTTAAAACTGGAGCGCAAAGATGTCTGGGATATGAAGTGGGCCAAGGATAATCCTGATTTGTTTGCAATGATGGAGAAGACGAGAATGTATGTCTTTAGAAACTTGGATCCTGAGGTACAAACAAGAAATGAATGTTAACAGTTCATAGTGAGCCAAATTTAAAACCTGGATGTTCTTCTGTGGTTTCTTTGGGAAATTTATTGACATTACTGCACACATTTGTGAAAATAAATTTAAAAATTTCTGTAGGGCTTAAAAATATTTGTTTCATAGCAGGAATGATACCTTTGAAATACCTTTGCTTTCTCTGAAAGACACGTCCCAGCTACTTATTCTCTTAAAATATGGGCTTATAGCTGGGTATGGAGGCATATGCCTGTAATACCAGGACCTGAGAGGTAGAGGGAAGAGAACCATAATTTTTGAGGCCAACTTGGGTTATCTAGGAAGTTCCAGGCCAACTTGGACCATGTAGTGAGATCTTACCTGAAACTGAAACCAAGCTTACCGACATGGAATCATGGCCACTCAGTAGTCTTTTCTCTCTTTCTTATCAAAGTCCAAACAGGAGTAAAGAAAATCACCAGGTTTATTTGCCAAAATTTCTTGAAGCATTCTAAATATGTATGTTTGGGATTGCCTCATCTTTTTATTCTCTGTGGTTATGTAACTAGTTTATGCTTACCTCATGTTTCTTTTTTGCCTTTAGTTATTTTTTTAATTCTATTTTATTTAATTAACATTTTCTCATTTATTTTACATATCAACCACAGTTTCCCATCCCTCCTCTTTTTCTGTTCCCCCCCTCCCCACACCGTTCCATCTACCGCACTCCCCCTCCAACCATCCAGTCCTCCTCTGTCTCCATTCAGAAAGGGGTAGGTGTCCTATGGACTTGAACAAAGCAGAGCATATCAGAATGAGGTATGACTGAGCTCCTCCCCTGCAGCAAGGCTGGGCAAGGTAATCCAGCATGGGGAACAGGTTCTCAAAAGTCAGCTAAGCCATGGGGACAGATTCTGATATCACTGCCAGAAACCTTAGAAATAGACCAAGCTATACAACTGTCACTCACATGCAGAGGGCCTAGGTTGGTCCCATGCAGGCTCCCTAACTATTGGTTAAGAGTCCATGAGTTCAGGTCACAGCTGTCTCTATGGGCTCCCTGTCAAGACCTCGACCTCCCTAACTGTACAGTTCCTCCTCCCTTTCTTCAGGAGGACTCCCGGAGGTTGGCCCAGTGCTTGGCTGTGGATCTCTGTGTCTGTTCCCATCAGTTATTGGTATCCAGGGTCTCTGATGACAATTAGTCACCAATCTGATTACAGGAGAAGGCCAGTTCAGGCACCCTCCCCACCATTGCTAGGAGTCTGATCTGAGGTCATCCTTGTGGAATCCTGGAACTGGCCTTCTCCTGTTTCTCCCTAACCCCCAAAAGGTCCCTCTATCAAGACTTCTTTTTCATTACTCTTCCCCTCTGTCCTGCCCACAGCCCGCCTCCTACATTCAGTTTGCCCAACCTTCTCCCTCAAGTTCCCGTCCCCTAATTCCCCCCACTATACCTACAGTTTACCCCAGAGATCTCTTTTATTTCCCCCTCCCAGGAAAATCCATTCATCTCTCTTTGAGCTCTCTTTCTTATCTAGCCTCTCTGGGTCTGTGGATTATAGGTTGATTATCCTGTATTTTACTCCTAATATCCACTTGTGAGTGAGTACATACCATATTTGTCTTTCTGGGTCTCGATAACCTCACTCAGAATGATTTTTTTCTAGTTCCACCCATTTGCCTGTAAATTTCATGAGGTCATTGTTTTTTACAGCTGAGTAGTATTCCATTGTGTAAATACACCACATTTTCCTTATCTGTTCTTTGGTTTAGGGGCATCTAGACTGTTTTCAGGTTCTGGCTATTATGAATAATGTTGCAATGAACATAGTTGATCTAATGTCTTTGTGGTATGATTGCGCATCTTTGGATTTATGCCCAAGAGTGATATAACTGGGTCTTGTGGTAGATTGATTCACACTTTTCTGAGAAACTGCCATACTGATATCCAAAGCGGCTGTACAAGTTTGCACAGCCCTTACTCTGCATCCTCTCCAGTATAAGCTATCATCAGTGTTTTTGATCTTAGCCATTCTGACAGGTGTAAGATGGTATCTCAGGGTAGTTTTGATTTGCATTTTCCTGATGATTAAGGATGTTGAACAATTCTGTAAGTGTATCTCAGCCATTTAAGAGTCTTATGTTGAGAATTATCTGTTTAAATCTGTAACCCATTTAATTGGATTATTTGGTATTTTGATGTATAGTTTCTTGAGTTCTTTATATATTTTGGAGGTCAGCCCTGTGTCAGATATGGGGTTGGTGAAGATCTGGTCCCATTCTGTAGGTTTCCATTTTGCCTTATTGACAGTGTCCTTTGCCTTACAGAAGCTTTTCATTCTCAGGAGGTCCCATTTATTATTTATTGGTCTCAGTGTCTGTGCTACTGGTGTTGTATTCAGGAAGTAGTGTCTTGCGCCAGTGCATTCAAGGCTACTTCCCACTTTCTCTTCTCTTATGCCAGCACCATTTGTTGAAAATGCATAATTTTGGCTTCTTTGTAAAAAATCAGGTGTTCATAGGTCTGTGGATTTAGGTGAGGGTCATTGATCCATGTATCTGTTTTTATTGCCAATACCAAACTGTTTTTATTACTATAGCTCTATAGCAGAACCTGAAGTCAGGGTGGTGATACCTCTGGAAGTTCCTTTATTGTACAGGATTACTTTAGCTATCCTGTTCTTTTGTTTGTTTGTTTTTCCTTATAAAGTCGAGTATTGTTTTCTCGAGGTCTGTGAAGAATTGTGTTGGGATTTTGATAGGGATTACATTGAATCTGTAAATTGCTTTGGTAAGATTGCCATTTTTACTATATTCTACCTATCCATGAACATGGGATATCTTTTCATTTTCTGATATCTTCTTCAAAGACTTAAAGCTCTTGTCATACAGATCTCTCACTTGTTTGGTTAGAATTACCCCAAGATATTTTGTATTATTTGTGGCTATTGTAAAAGGGCATCATTTCTCTGATTTCTCAGCCCACTTATCCTTTGTATATAGGAGGGCTAGTGATTTTCTTGAGTTAATCTTGTAAGCCTCCACATTACTGAAGGTGTTTACCAGCTGTAGCAGTTCCCTGGTAGAGTTTTTGAGGTCACTTATGTATACAATCATATCATCTGCAAATAGTGAAAGCTGGTCTTCTTTCTTTCCAATTTATATCCCCTTGATTTCCCTTTGTTGTCTATAACTCCAGGTAGAACTTCAAGTACTGTATTGGATAGCTATGGAGAGAGTGGACAGCCTTGTCTCATTCCTGATTTCAGTGAGATTGCTTACCTCATGTTTCTTATTTTCTCTCCAGACCACTCAGTGGTCCACACACTTTCTGTACACGGCTACCCTCACACACATTACAGTCACTTTCTCCTGCTCTTCATTTCTGGGTCTTTTCTAGTTATAGCTCACATCTGCAGTGTTATTGAAACAGAGTTAGTTTTTTTTTGCACGAAAACTTATAATAAAACATTTTCAATATAGACTTTAAACATGAAGTTAAGAGAGCAAAAGATGTAGTCAGAAAGAAAGTCATCCCAGAGAGCGTGGGTTCAGGCTTCTCTCTGAGAGAATTCCTCCAGCTGACTGCTTTGTTCTGGATTCCCTTGTCACTCAAGCTGCTCTGGATCAACTCTTACCCATGTGCTTAGACCATGAAAAATAATGTGATCTGTAGCTTAATCAAAAAGACAATTTTTAAAAACAATTTTTGGAGTGCTAATGATTTTCAATATGGAATTTTCTGTTGTACTTCGCTAGAGTAAACAGTAAGAGATGAGTCAGTTTCTCTTTGTTTGTTCTTGAGAAGAAATTGTATACTCAGGGCCTTGAACTGCTAAAGGTTTTCTGTAGCCGTTCATTTAGTGGTGCTGTTGCCCCTTTAAGATACCACGCTGTTTGTGCATTTTCCCCTTTGAGCTCTTCTGTGGCTCTCTGGGCCATGAAGTGATATAATAGGTGCTCTTAAAGGCCCTGTTAAAGGAGTCGTGTGGTCTTTGTATTTCTTAGACCCTGAGAAATGACTGAAAGAAAAGACATCCCAGACAACTGCCTTTGCATGGCTTCTTGTGAGGACCCAAGGGACGTTTGGCTCTTGCCACAAAATCAGTGTGGGAATTTGACAGGTGTACACAGGAGAACCTTGAGGATGAGAGACTACTTTCTGAATGCTAGAGTCTTTTTTGTATTCTTGGCTCCCTTCCTTGTAAGCCTGGAGTCACATGCCCAGAGATGGATGTTCATTATGTTTTCACAGTGTGAGCAGAGTGTGGGCAACCTAGCACCAAGTGAAATCTTTGTCTGGAGAAATGATAAGTAGTTCTAACAAACTAGCCTTTATTTACACACACACGCACACACACACACATACACACACTATTTTCTTTATTTGAATTTGTTTTCTGGCTTGGCATAAACCCAATTTCTACTATGTTTCGAACTAGATCAATTTTTAAAAGTAACGTTAGCACTGTCAGGAATTGTTTCTGCACTGTGCTGTTCTCATCCTGCGTTCCTGAGGACAGAGGCCTCCGCTTCTTCTGTGCTCAGGGGTCCCTGCTCTACGGGTCCTTCCTCTAGCTGCTGTGAGAAGAGACCTGGGCACAGAACTACAGGATATAAGTTCCTTCAGGACACGGCCTTCTGCGTTAGCACTCAGGAGGTGAGCTGTGGTCTGACAGTGTCTGGACCTATATAGGAGGACAGATAGGTGAGAGATCACTGTTTCCATGTTGGGAGGGAGGGAGGAGTCAGCCCTGCTATTCCATAGTTGCTTGTTGCTTGTGTTATCAGTGATCCTGGAGGTGGCAGATTCTTTTAAAGAATCCCTTAAGCCTCTTGACTAATTTGTGAGATGAGTGTAAAATTTGATAATATAGTCTCTCAGTCTAGTTAAATAGGTGTATTCAAGCCTCAGTGTGTCACAGTGTGTTAAGACTGAGTAGTTAAGTAAGGACACTTCAGGAAGCCTGTTGTATTACATACGCTGTGTGGTCTCTGACTGTGCTGAGTGAGGTCCCCAGGGTTTCTTGGTACAGTAATTCATACCAAAGTTTAGATGCTTGTACCTTGCTTTTACCGCCCATGTGAGTGTACCCTGTTTGGTCACTTGTTAGTGTGATGTGCTGTGTTAGCTTGTTGTGTGGATGAATTGCGAGTGTATTTTGGAAATAAAATTGGTTGATGTAATTTGGCCTAGTTAGCTTTATCTGTCCCCTTGATGCAGCCTAGATTAGAATCTCAATTGAGGGCCTCTCCAGATCACATTGCCCTGAGACTCTATCTGTGTGGGATTATCTTGTTAATTGATGTAGAAGGGCCCAGCCTACTCTGGTTGACACTATTCCGTGAATAAGTTATTCAGGCCTGTATAAGAATGTTGGCCTGCAAGAGAGCCAGCAAGCAGCATTCCTCCATGGTTTCTACTTCAAGCTCCCTTGAGTCCTGTCCTGATTTCCCTCAGGGGTGGACTGTGACCTGGAAGTGTAAGCTTCCTTCCCTAAATTGCATTTGGCCACGGTGTTTACTACAGCAACAGAAAGGAAACCAGAGCATAATACCAGCAGAAACTGAGTTTTGGGAAAATGAGTTACCCCTAGATTTTTGCCCATTACTTATATGCCAACACTTATAACTATGTTGAGAACTCTTCACTTCACCTTTCCCACTCTCCCTTTCTCTGTGTTTTTCATCATTTAAAGAACTTTTATTAAAACAATAACCTTATAATCCCAATTATGTTTTTCTGCATAGTTATCAGTTCTCTTTCATTAAGCAGAACTGACATTTTAAGGTGTCCTGTTGTGAAGAATCACAAAATTAAAGGAATGGTTTACATTTTTATACTTTATTTTTCCAAGGTGGTAGTATATTGTTTTAATCCATAGATTATCTTTGTTGAGTTCACCTTTTAACTACTTGCTTTGGTGTAGTATCTAATTAAAATTATTTCTAGTGGTAAACAGGTTTATATAAGTATATTTGGTTTATATGATAGTATCAAAATAATCAAAACATAAAAAGATCCAATGAGAAATGTCTGTCTCATTACATATTCTTTTTTCCAAATTAAATTTTGCTGTGATTCTGAGTGTGCACAGATGTGGATGTGGTGGTGTTTCCAGAGATAGAGTCATGTTGTGTCACAAAGGCCTGCCTCTTAACCTGTAACTTCCCTACTTCCACGTCCCATGTGCTGGGATTACAGGTGTGACTGCCTGCCTGGCTCTGTTTATGTGAGCTTGTTACTCATGAAAATATATTATCTGCCAAATGCAATAAATCACCTTTGTAAAGGTAATTAAAAGATTTTATAAACCTTTCTCATATTATTCAATTTAACTAACAACTCGTGCTTTTTCAAAGAAAAGATATTTGAAACCCCATTTGATAGATCTACTGTGCATATAAGAGCCTCAATCTAGGCAGACTGAACCTAAACTGTGAATTTTTACCTTTCATTTTCTTCATTTTTTATCTTTCTTTTATCATAATTATGTAATTGTATGATTGTATTACATATATTACAAAAAATGTAATTTTGTTGATTCCATTGTTAGTAGCTATTATCCTATTTCTTCTATAGTATTCTTGGAGGTATTAAGTAGATTAGCAGTTTATCTATTTTGTCTTATGTAATATTATATCTATTGTTTTCTGCTAAGAATGTAGGATAACTGCTTTACCTTACAATATGTAGGGCCTATACTTTTTTCCTTACAACTATCTATAGGATAAGAGACATACATATAACATCCGTATATTTATATGTTGACAAATAAAATCTTATATAAGAAGTATATTAAGTGCAAAGAAGGCAGGCTTCAGTTTGCTGTGGGATTTGTATGCTAAGATGCACTTAATTAGATCCAAATACAATGTTGTTGGAGGAGGTTGCTTGTTTGTTTCCTGGCTACCCAGATTCCTGAAATAATCACACAAAAACTGTATTAATTGCAATACTGTTAGGCAAATAGCTTAAGCATATTTGTGTCTAACTCATATCTTAAATTATCTCATTTTTATTAATCTGTGAATCACCATGTGGCTGTGGCTTACCAGCAAGTTTTCGGTGTGTCTGTCTCCTGCAGGTGGCTACATGGCTTCTTCTCTGACAGTTTAGTTTTCTTGCCTAGCTCTATTCTGACCTATCACAGGCCAAAGCAGCTTCTTTATTCATTAACCAATAAAAGCAACACATATACAGAAGGACTTCCCACACCATTTCCCCTTTTCTGTCTAAATGAAAAGAAAAGTCTTAATTTTAGCATAGTAAAATTATATATAACAAAACAGGTATCAAGCAAGAATTACAGTTACTACTTTATCTTCTATCATAACTAAGGCAAACTATAATTATCTATTCTTCGACTCCATCAAAGACTCCAGAAAGATATAATATTACTTAAGTAAACAGGAAGTGCATTGTCAGCAACTTTCAAAAATCTAGAAATGTCAGAGACATTTTGCTACCTGGACAGTCACTCAAAGTTCTTCTGTAATGTTGGGGCATCCATCTTCAGCCTACAGGCCCATAGCATCCAGCAGACTTATCCATGAAGCAGGAAGTTTGAAGATCTGTCTTTTAATGGCAAAGTCTATCAGTTGTTTTCTTCCGTGTCCTGCAGAATGTCTTGCAAACTCTTTCATGAAACAGGAACCCTGAAGGACTGTCTCACCTTTTTTTTTTTTTAAGGCAACTTCAGCAACCATTTCTCTGTGAGTTCTGCATGTCCAGTTTATACAGCATACCATCAAGCAGTCTAGGCAAGAGCAGTTTCTTGCCCAAATGGCTAATAAACTCCATGAGGAGCCTCTTTGAGGCCCATCTTCCTCTTGAAGCAGTTTGGTGCTGCCAGTAGCAGATGTGTCACATTACCATGAGAAGTTTAAATTTTTAAAACAATTTAAATGCCATATTCTGTAGTCTTTGAAAGATTTGAAGAATACCTATCTAACTGAAATATATCTCTATATATCTAGAAAATCGAACTAACATAACTACAAGCTTGACTATTATAGAGAGATCTATTAATATATATTTTTAATTATACATTACATTTTAAAATGAACTATACAAACACAATACCTTAATCAAGAGCAGAAATATACATATAACAAAATTGACCTAAAGTTTCTATCAATAGACCAAGATCCATACCAATACAATCTCTGTAGCATATCCCCTTTTAAATGTACACAAACATTTATAAACAATATTTGGGAATTTGGGCATAGTTCTCTCCAAACTGCTTCCTCCTTTTCATTGGGTGAAGCAATTTTGGGGGGAGTTCATGATGATCTTTGGGGGCTGTCTTGGCCCATCAAACCACATTAGTCTGGAAGGAATCCAGTTTCTCATCCTCTGTGGAAACAAAAGAAGAACCTCTTTTCCAAAACAACAAATCCTTAGACCCAAATTTGAAGTCAAGATACCTTTAAAAGCTTAGCAGCCCGTACAATGAAATGTCTGTCTGTATTTAGCTCCTTTACAGTCAAAAAAATTTAGAGAAAACACAATAATAATGCATAATCTAAACTCTGTGCATATTCCATCTTTACATGGCTTATTTTTCTTATTCTGTTACTTTTTCTGCAAGTTTATTCCTGTAATTTATGACTGCAACTGTCTGTACTCTTTTATATTGTAGTTGTGTATACACCTTTCTTTCTCTCTCCAAGCCTACATACATTTATCCAACACTGTGACCCATTCAGAGGTTTACTCCTGTCTGAATCTGTCTTTATTGCATATCTGTACTCCTTTTATGACCAGGAGTACTTTTAAAACAGTAAGCAGCTTGGTCACAGTGGCCCTGGATGCTGGCTTCACCTCTCTCTGGCTTTCAATATGGTGGAGGTAGTTCACCGTCTGCTCTGGGACTTCTGGGTGGGAGCCATCCTCACCACCTCAACTCTGGGCGTGCAGCACATAAACCCTTTTTATCTGAGTAAAACTAAATCTGCCATGCTGTGCACTGTGCACCATCTCTGTCTATGGCAGCAGGAATCCGCCATGCTCTCCTGCCTGTACACTCCTAGTAGACCTGATTTCACCACTTTCCCAGGTGGGGATCGCCCAGCCATGGGCATGGTCTCAGCTACTTTCCTCCTGACCCGAAAGTGGGTGGCGGGCATCAATCCCAAATGTTTCAGACCATGTTGGTTTGCCAATATGTTGACGGAGGCTGCTCATTCATTCCTGGCTGCCCAGACCCAAAATAATCACTCAGAAACTATATCATTTGCAATACTGTTTGACCAATAAATTAAGCGTATTTCTAGATAGCTCTTATATCTTAAATTATCTCATTTCTATTTTATGTTTTACCATGAAGCTTGTGGCCTACCAGCAAAGTTATGGCAGGCTCCATGGAAGTGTCTGTCTCTGGCATTGGCTACATGGCTTCTCATTGACTCCACCTACTCTCTTTATGTATCTTTTCCAGCCTGGCTATATTCTGTTAAGCCATTGGCTGAAAGCAGCTTCTTTATTCATTAACCAATAAAAGCAGCACATAAGCTGAAGACTTCATATGTCTTCTGCATTTATCATATTTACTAGGAATTCAACTCATAATGTGGTCAAGCTAGAAAGCATCTTTTTCTTTTAGAAAAATGTACAGAATTCTAGAGGTGAAATGTGGTACCAGCTAGAAATTCAGTGGTGTGTATGCAGGGGAATGTTAACTGTTTAGGTATTGGGTATATGACACTACTGACATTCTTATTTTTTCTTAATTGAAAGTTTTGACAATACAGTTTTAAATCAGGATTCCTTAGGGGTCTTTTGTGTGAGACATAACATTTGCTTTTGTCTTTAAAGGAACCTATTCAGACCTCTGGATATATTTGCAACTTTGAAGATTTGGAAATTAAGTCTGTTCTATTGGATGAGATTCTAAAGGTGACTAGCAACAGAATTGTACCTGGGGAGAAAAGGAGCTGAGAGAAACTTGGGGAACCATTTCTGCCATTGTCTGCACCTCTCTGTAGGAAGCCTGACTGCCCATGGAGGACCCCGTTTGTCTGTTTTCCAAAGAGCCCTTAAGATCCAAACATGGCGATTTCTTTTTCTTTGTTTTGCTCACAATATGATACTACTTTATTATTATTTTTAATTGTAAGGAAGAAGCATATCCTACAGGCATCCTTTTGAATTCCTTTGTTTCATCTTCACTTTCAGAATCCAGAACACCCTAGCAAGGATTATATAATGAACTTTGAGATCCGGTCCCTGCGAGATAGTCGAGCACTGATTGAGAAGGTTGGAATTGAAGACGCATCTCAGTTCATAGAGGACAATCCTCATCCCCGACTTTGGTATTTTAAAAATCCCCAACATTCCCCAAAGTCAGTATGCTTTTAAAGTCCCAACTCTGTCACCCCCTGTTCTCACACTACTCTCCTACAGGAAACTGAAATCTCTTCTTTTTAGACATGTTATATAAAAAATGTTTGCAGGTGCTAACACAATTATTTTCACCAGGATCCACCAGATTTTTTTAAACCATGCTTCACCAATTGATTTCTGGTACAAGACTTGTTTATTAGTGATATACAGTAGATTTTCTGTTTCTTTTTAACACCAAGGCGCCTGTTGGCCGAGGCGGCCCTCCAGAGGCTGGACTTGTGCACGGCCCAGCAGGCGTTTGTGCGCTGCAAGGATTACCAGGGCATCAAGTTTGTGAAGCGCTTGGGAAATCTGCAGAGTGAGGCAATGAAGCAGGCCGAAATTATTGCCTACTTTGGCAGGTTTGAAGAAGCTGAAAGAATGTATCTATCCATGGACAGAAGGTAAATTAATGAAGGCAGCCATCTCCAAGTATTCTTCAGTTCATAGTGTTTTACAAATAGAGACTATATATATATATATATATATATATATATATATATATATATATATATATATGACTAAGTATAGCAAACCATTTCTTTTAGAAAATAATTTTCATTTTGGAAAACCTCTGGGCATTTATACCTCATTAATTTATATTTTATCATTTGGGCGCAGCATTCTTCTCTGATTTTATTTTATTTATTGTTTTTCAAAACTTTTTATGTGTTTGTGTGTGTGTAGTGTACATGTGTTTGCACACGTGCACATTTGTGGAGGCTATAGGTAAATGTTGGGTGTCTTCCACTTCCATTTTCCTCCTTATTGAGACAGGGCTTTTCACTGAACCCGGAGACTGACATTTTGGCTCCATTAGCTGGCCGGCAGGTCCCTGGGCTGTCTGTCTGCTCAGTGCTAGGGTCGCAGATGCGGTGGCCACGCCAGGCTTTCACGTGGTGCTAAGGATCCGATCAGGTCTTCATGCTGTAGCACTGAGCCAGTTCTCAGCCCCTTGCTCTGTTTACATATGTGTTCATATATGACTATGGAGGTGTTTGTTGGTAAAGAAACTGAGAGGTCTGTAGAGACTGGAGACTTTTCTTTTTGGTGTTTTGAGATGTTTTCTCCGTGTAGCCCTGGCTGTCCTGGAACTTACTCTTTAGACAAGACTGGCCTTGATCTTGGAGATCCACCTGCCTGTGCCTCCACAGTGCAGGGATTAAAGGCTTGTGCCACTACCACCCAGCAAGACTGGAGACTTTTATTATTTATTATATACGTCATAATTTGAGTTTTGATGGTTGAAGCCATTATTTAATTTTCTTCTCTCAGGAATCATTAAAATCAAAAGGGAAATTGTCTTATGGCTTACATTTAATTTTTCTTTATAAAATGTATGAACTTCATTTCAGCAATAAGCATGTAATTTAATTTTCCCTAATTGGTATTTTACTCCCAGAAGTTTCCTAATATATTTTAAGCCCTCAGAACAAATGCAAAACCAAGCATTTATACTGTATGTTTCATTCTGAAATAAGCCTTTTTGTGTCTAAGATATAAATGAAAATATGTAATTATTACTTACATAATTCATTTGCTTAGTAAGCTGGAGGAAAAGAAGACTAGAAACAGCTTTTTATTCCAGTGTCTTTTCTGTTTGTACCGCTGTGACGGAAGTGCCTTAGACTGGGTAATTTATAAAGGACAGAAGGTTGTTCCTCACAGTTCTGGAAGCTGAAGAATCCAAGGCCGAGGGTCTAGCAGATGTGATATCTGGTAGGAATCCAGTCTGTGTTTCCAGGATGGTGCCTTGGATTTTCTCATGGTAGAGCAGAAGGGCAAAAGGACGTCAGCTTTCTCTGGTGCCCTTTCATGAAGGCTTTCATCATCTCACACAGAGGCTCATGGTTTCCCCAACTTACCATGTCTCCATGCTACCACACTTGGGATTAAGTTTCAACAAGTGGTTTTTGCGAGGCACCCTTTGAAGCCATAGCTTTTGCCCTCTCTCAGTTTCCTCTTCTTGGCCAGGCTGTTTCCGGGGAGTGTTTGGAGATAATCTTAGTTCCGAGAACTGTGTCTAGGACAGAGTAGGCAACTGACAAACGTTTTAGAGTGAATTAGTGAATGAATGAGTGAATGAATGAATGAATTCTTTTTTTTTTCTTCCTGTAGAGACCTCGCTATTGGTCTGAGGCTGAAACTGGGGGATTGGTTCAGAGTCCTGCACCTCCTGAAGACTGGGTCTGGGGACGCAGATGACAGCCTCCTTGAGCAAGCCCACAATGCCATTGGAGACTACTTTGCTGATCGACAAAAGTGGTGAGTAGGCGACCTGAAAGGCCTGATGGACCTGACGCATTCTTGCATGCCAAGCATTAATATGTCACTCAAACTAGCTTCCCAGAAAACAGCGCCATCAGAGCGAAGGCCTTCCCCTAAATCCTGAAATTCGAATGGCCTCATGCACTTGCTCTCTGGATGCACTGGGGATCAAGTCATCCCTGAGCTGGGAGATGAGCATGGTGTAATTTTGCCATTTGTGTACACAAGTCTTACACTTAGCTTCAGAAAGCATTCCACTGTTTGGGAGATTCCACTGTTTTGTATGATTTATTTGTAAACATAATAAAAACAAAAGTATGCTTACTTGTTTTGTTACAGATTGTTTTCAGAAAGTATCATTTATTCTTAAATTTTCATTGGGATCAATATGCTTTTTTATGTCAATGATGTGAGTACTTCTATGATACTGTAAGTTAAAATAACATAAGAGCATTCAAAGAATATTACAAGGAGAATATGCTGCATTGTCTTTAGATTTATAAGTAATTTGTGTTTTTTAAAGCTATTGTGTAGCTAGAGATGATGAAGTAATACAAACACTAGTAATTCCAATGAAAGACTTCTTTTGGGGAAGTTTCTGCTTATCTGGAGACTCTCAGACTGATTCTGAAGGTTTTCCTTTTTGTCCACAGGCTGAATGCTGTGCAGTATTATGTAAAAGGCAGGAATCAGGAACGCCTAGCCGAATGCTACTATATGCTAGAAGATTATGAGGGGTTAGAGAATCTTGCCAATTCACTTCCAGAAAACCACAAATTGCTTCCAGTAGGTATTCCAAATTTTAGTTTTTGGTGTTGGGTTCTTTATAAAATATTTATTTTTAGTCATGAAATATCCTCTGCAGCACTGAAAACTGAAAGATAATCTATAATGTCATAGTTTCTTAGACATGGAGTGATGCTTTAATATTATTTTAGAGTCAGTATGTTAGTATTACAGAGTTCTTGAGCAGAGAGAAATAACTGAGATCCTTAGTACTTCACCAGAGCACAGCCTGTGTGGTTCCTTAAGTTCTTAAAATTGCTTACAAGACTCAGCTGAGCGCCTGGAACATTTCTGGTTATGACTGTCAGGGATTTGCTTCAGAAGAGTCCACGATCATTCAGAATTTGCTTCTCATTAAGTTTGAAAGGTCAGCTAAACAGTGAAGTTCAACATTAAAAGAGAGGTCAAAAGCTGTGTGTCCCTTCCTTGACTGTCACTTTTAGCCTCTGAGTTGATTGTTGGGTGCTGTTAGTGTCTGTATTTTAGTTGTTTAGTATGTGACTCAGTATCTGTGGAGTTAGCCACTCCCAGCCACAAGGTCCATCACATGGTTTGAGGGTTCCATACTAAAAACTCTTTGTTAATTAATAGACAAGTCTAGAATTCTGGCAGTTGAGGTCTCCTGTGAAGGGACAGCTGGCTCCCTCATCATCCTGGTTCCATTTGCCCTTATTTACAACCCTGTGTGTTTCCTTAAGTAGGAGAGAAACTGGAACTCCTTAGAACCCCAGGTATGGAGAATAGTAGAACTTCTGCTAGTGTCATCTCTGGTGAAGCAGAAAAAAATGGCCATATGGGAGCCAGAGCAATAAATTGCCAGGTACTCAGCACTTACAACTGGCCTGGCAGCGAATATGGTGAAGTTGTGCTCTGAAGTCAGAGGGCTTTAGTAATGTGTGATGCTGTGCACAAAGCGTGGTGGGACATGTACACTATGACATGTGGTGCATGGTTGCAGTATACACACACGCATATGCGTGGTGACTGACACACAGGCTGGGAAACAGGGCTAGAGTATTGAGGGATTGGTTTCTTACAGGTCACAAAATTTTGAGCAATCCTAATTTTTGTACTTTTTAGCTTTTTGAGAAATTAGAATGTACTTATAAGAAAAACGTAGGCATTATTTTTAAAATATAGTTGAATATAAAGTATGTATTTGTATATCCAAAATTATTTATTCGTTATATGTGTGAATGTTTTGCCTGCATGTAATGTCTGTTCCACATGCATGCAGTGCTCTCAGAGGCCAGAAGAGGGTGGATCCCCTGGGTCTGGAGTTAAAGATGGTTGTGAGCCTCCATGTGGGTACTGGAAATCAAAACTCAAAACTCAGATCAGCTGGGAGAGCAACCAGTGCTCTTAACCACTGAGCCATCTCACTAGCACCCCAACCCCTGGCCCCAGAGTATTTCTGAAGTGATGGGTGGGGTAAGAAAAACTCTTAGCTAGTAATGAAAGAAACCAAAACATGGCAGTAAGGTTTGTGGTAGTGGTCGATGCCCTGGCCTCCTGCTTCCCTAGGAGGAAGTTGTTTTGGGTTTGGCTTCTAAAACTGACGAAGGGACTTTATTTTTTTTTCCTTTTTTATTTTTTCCATGCTAGGATTCAGACCTGACACTTGGACCTTAAACTGTCTCCCACCCCAGCCTGCGTTATTTTTTTTTATTTATCTCTGTCCGTCCGTCTGTCCGTCCGTCCGTCCATCCATCCACTCACTCATCCATCCATCCATCTTTCTATCTACCTACATACTTATCTAGTTATTTTATTTTGAGAGGGATCTTGCTTTGTTGTCGAGGGCATCAGCTCCTGGATCCGACTGATCCTCTCTGTCTCAATCTCACGTGTAATTGTGGTTAGAGATGTGGACCACAGGGTGGCATGAGGTATCCCTTAGATTAGATGTAGCCAGGGGTGACTTTTGATGCTGCTGCCTCTAGCCTCTGTGCACTGGGAATGCACCACCATGCCACTTATGTAGTACTGGGGACCAAACCCAGGGCTTCGTGCTTGCCAAGCCACATTCTACCAACTGAGATTCACCCCCCCCC